TTTTTCTCTCCTTTTCTTCCCTCTATCTATCCATCCATGCTCATACGCAGCACCATACCATCATCCTCTTCTTCTCGATCCTTCTCTTGTTGAGAAGAAGAAGAAAGGAAAGCTACACAAGTCTTGTACCGAGAAACAGAGAGGGAAAAGGAAAATTTTGCGCCATGGATTCAGCTGCAGCTGTGACGACGACGACGGAAGCCGCAGTGAACGGCAAGGAGTCATTGGTTGATTCCTTCTTGGTTGAGGCTCTTCAGAACCCTCGTCATCGTCTAACCAGTTAGTGTTCTTTGTGCTCTCCCTTAATTTATTCAATTTGGGTTCATCCCAATTTGTTGTTTTTCGATCTGGTTGTTAATCAGTTTTTTAATCTAGGTTTTGTGTAGTCATAATGGGTTTGTATTTTTTGTTTGGGATAGAATTGGGGTTTGGCTTTCTTGAATGGGAAATTGAATGTCAGATCTGGGGATTCTGGCGGATTTGTCTACTAGGATTTTGGGAAATTTGAGAGGAGGGCTAAGTTAGATTTTGCTGTCTTTATGTGGAAGAAAGTTGTAAGATTGCTTATGCTTTTTACGGAAAATGTTTAGCTTAGCTTAGTCTGATTTTTAATTTTTACATAACTTTGTGTGTATTTTAGTGCATAAGACCTTATAGGTTGAGGTTTATTGGAAAAGTACTGAAAAAATATATATTAAATCTGAGTTCTATATCATTTGTGTATCTACTCTTAGAGCAAGCTTAGTTGCCAAAAATATTTCTTTGATTCTGTTTTTCTTGAGTTGAATTTGCTATTTTGAGCAAGTGCACTGTTGTCCACATTATGGATATATATGGTAGTGCAGGAGCTGCTACCTAATTGATGTTTCATATCCATTCTTACTTTCTTAGACTTTTGAATAATTAGCTTTGGAAGAGCGTCTGGTTGTTCTAGTGACTAAATCATTATGGTTATGAAATCTGAACAGTGAACAGATAATCTTTTCTTAGTTGGGTTAGTTGCTAGGTGGATGTCTAATTCAGTTTCTATTGAGTTTAATTCGGTATTTTGGAATGGTTTTACTGTTAGCAGGCACACTATGGGCATGTGTTGATAGCGAGAAGGGCAACTTAATTGATGTTTCACATGAATTCTTAGACCTTTGAATGATAAACTGTGGATGGGCCTTTAGTTCTAGTGATCAAACAATTGTGAAACTGAATAATGAAAATCCCAACAGATATGAAAGCAAACTTAGTCATGGCTTCATGATTTTGGTTGAGATCAACCTCGAGGTTTTTTGGGTTGAATTTTACTAGGCAAAGGAGCAAACAAATTTAGCTCATGAACTATACTAGGAAACCCATTTGCTTTTATTTATGGCTTTTGGACTATTGAAATCTTTCCCTGTTGGAAGTAGGATTTGCATTTCTAGTAGCTTGCATGTGCAATTTTCTGACAACACAGGGTTGCCCTTTTATTATATCCCCTTTGACGTTTTGGCTTGTGCTTATCTAATAGCACTTTACATGTGTTCCCATAGTGTCTTAGCAAATCTGGTAATCCAGGCGAGTGATTTTGTGTTAGATTAATATTGTGTTTTTTGTTTGAGTATTTAGTCCTTCATGCCTAGAAGCATAAAATTCTTTGTAGACATGAAATTTAAACTTCCCAAAAAGGCTTACCTCATTATAAAAAGCAATCATATAGTTTACCTCTTGTATGCCTGGAAGATCATGCTTTTATTCATGTCCTATAACTCTTGTAGAGCACCTTTAGTGATTCCAACTTATCTTTCTAGTTCCTAGTCAATGGGATTCTACAGCATCTTCGTGCTATGTTTTGCCTAATTTGATTTTGAATGTTAGAGAATATCTTTTTCATTACTTTCCCACGTTGTCATGAGAAAGTGATTAGAAAATAAAAATGAGTCTATTTGAAAGAAAAAAATGTTTCTGATTACATTGAAATAACAGGAAGATTATTATGTATCTCAAGAATTCCTTATGCTTGTCATACCTGATAGCTGAAGACTATTATGGTGCACTAATGAACAGGATGTAGTTTTAAAAGTGCAAATGAAAAAGAACAAATGAAAGATGTTACTGGGCTTCTATTTGTAGGTATGCTGATAGTAATGGGTGGAAAATATCTAGGATTTAGGTTTCCATTCAAACGTAGGTTAGATTTGGCAATTCAGTTCATTTTATTTTGAGAGGTAATCTTGGAGAATAGTGAGTTGTTTAATAAATTTTGATTTTCATTGGAGGTCAATAGGATTAGAGCTTTACAACAACAAAGCAAGTGTTGTATGTGACTTGTATAATGGAAAATTTACAGTATGATATGGTGTACATGAACTTGGGGCCGGTAGGAGATGGGAAGGATGCTTGCTAATCATTTTATTTTCATATATTTTTTCCTAGTCTGATATTTAATATGTTTCTCTTATGGTGCAATTTTGCTGAACCAAACATGTCCTGTTCCTAAACCTTATGATGCTGTATTGTACAACATTCATTAAACCATGTATTTGATAACTTCCATTTCCAGTTGCACTTTAGGTTGTCAATCCTTTTCTTCTTTTTCTGCTTTTGTATTCTTTCAAAGTTGATTTACTTTTATTTCTTTTGGCTCTCTTTTGGCAAGGCAGTTCTTCGGATGGAACTTGATATCCAGAGGTTTTTGCAAAATCCTGAGCAGCAGCAGTTTGAATTTCAACATTTTCCTACTTCCTATCTTCGACTGGCAGCACATCGTGTTGCTCAACACTATGGCCTGATAACAATGGTTCATGATATTGGCTTAGATGGTCAAGGAAACAGAATTGTGGCCAAGAGATCCAGCGATATCAGATACCCAGCCGTCCGTCTGTCTGAAATTCCAACCAAACTTTCAGAAACTGATAAACCTGAGCAGGTTAAAATTGTCATGAGGCCTAGGCCAAATAAGGGGTCAATGAATGATGCTACTGAAATTGGGACCAAACGAAGTCCAGTGAGAAGTGTTGAAGAGAGGAAGGAGGAGTATGATAGAGCTCGAGCCCGCATCTTTAGTAGTCCTCGCAGTCCCAGTGCAGATGATTCTTTGTCTAAGGATCCTGCGAATGGGAAAAATGTGTGTATGAGCAGGGATGAGAATGAAGGGTCCAGGAATTCCATGTCCGATTCAGATAAAAATGTCAGTTTTAGGGATGCTACTGCATCTCGAGTTGCCATTTTCAGAGATAGGGAGAAGGATCGCACTGATCCAGATTATGACCGAAGTTATGAGAGGTAGTAGTTTGTTCTCTTATTGTGATTCAAAGTGTTTCATTTGATGGTTTTGTAGCTTGCCTCATACTGTTTCTTGCTAAAAGCTTGTCTTGATTATATGCTTGACATCTACTTGATATCCCTATCCTCCATATTTTAAAACAGCTAATAGTGATCTGTGGAAGGGTATTAATGATTAGCATAGTGATAAAATTCACAACTTTTTAGACTGAAAAAGGAATGATGCATGTTGGTAAGACATAGAAGTTTCAATTTGGACATCCATGTTATATCTATTATTTTATTGTAGGGTTAATAATTTTCATTTGTATATTATTAAAATGACCAATCGCGTTTCTCATGCCTAATTCTCCCCTTATGAATAACTGATTTGTTGAATTTACTCTTTTTTGTTTTTTTTTATTCTTGTTCTAGATTTGTATTCAAAATTTAATCAAGCTGTATTGCTAATGATTGGTCAGGTATGTTAGGAGCCTTCCAGCTAATCAGGGCTTTGGCCTGGCTCCTTTCAACATGCAGAAGATTCAGATTCCATACCCACAATATGACACTGCTTTTCCTCAGATGCCAAGGACTCAAGCTTCCCTCAGCTATGTGCCTCCTGCAAACCCGGTTGCAAACCCCTTTTCTCCCGTGGGCTTGAATCACACACCTGGAGATGGTGCCTATATCCAATGGCCAAATGCTACAATGATGTATGCCCAATCATACGAGCAGTTTAGACATGTTGCTTTTCAGGTGAACTGTGATTCCTTAATATATTCTGCCTGAATTGAAACTGATTGATTTAGAGATTATAATCACTTTGATTTCTGACTCTAGAATTGTGATATTGGTGATTTGTACATCTTGCATCTAATTCACTTTGCATGTGTTGTTTGCACTTTTGCAGGCTCCATTCTGTCACCAACCTCTAAGCTTTGGGTATTCTCAGAACCATTAAATGATAGTTAGGTGTGCTGAAGTATCATACATGCAGAATATGTTGCTGCTTAGGATTGCATTGTTGGTAGGTTCATTGTTGAAGGACTTCCTTTTTGTTGTTTTGGTTTTATTCATCTAGTTTGTGTGCTTTTTTATATTTTGGATCTTAAATGGTAACGAGATTCAATGATGAGTTTCTCTCCACCAGTCTTGATCCGTCCTTGCCTTGGAATTAAAGTACGTAGCTGAAAATATACGACCATTAAAGAGTAAAAAGACCAAATTCGAAACAACACGTCCCCCCCTCGGCCCCCCCTCCCCCCATTTTTTCTAATAACAAATACAAAATGCACATGTACGTTATTTATTAAGAGCATTTAATAAGGATGGAAGAAAATCAAGATTTTTTAATTAAAATTTGAGGAAATGATAATGAAAAGACTTAAATGTCTTTAATAAGTTAATATGCAAGTAAGATTTATTAAGGATATGTGCATAATTTTATATGTAATTATGATATTTTAAATGTTAGAATGTATTAATTTTCATTACTTCTTTGGTTTAACTTTATTAGATCTAGTTATTAATTTGAGGTGTTTAAATTTAATTGTTTATTTTTTTAAATGTTATTTAATATGTTTATTTTTATTTTATTTTTGTTTTAAAAAAATAATTATGATATATCTTACTTTTTATTTAAATGATATGCTTAATTTAAGATAAATATAAAAATTTATTAATAAATTATTATATTTTTATTTTATTAAAAAAATTAATCCTATTAAATTGGAATGGAAGTAATCCAGATCAATATCATTTTTAGATATGTTAACCTTGAGTTGGGGGTTATCCTTCTCATAAAATACATTATTATCAAATGTAAAAAAAAAAAAAAAAGTATAAAAAAAAAGATATTAAAATGATTAAAATGTCCATAATAGAATTTCCCTAAAAATGTTCATACCTTAATGATAATTTAGTAATATAAATAAATGAGCTGTACCAATTTTTTCTAAGTTCATATTAAAAAAACACCCATCTCTATTGTTTTTGTCCAGCTTGACTAAAACAAATTTCTTTTATTAGACCGTAATAACCTAGAAAGTTCATTGCTTACTCATAGAATGACCCCATGGGGCAGCAATTGGGCCTAATTAGTCAAAAAGTTATAGAATGGGCATTAATAAGTCGAAAGGCTGTCCAATTTCATCTAGTTGACATGACACCCAAAATATGCATGTCCTCAAGGTCCATGATGACCAAGTTCATGACCGACCACAGAACATTTCAGACACACCAAGTTATTGAAGAACTTCCAAGAGAAAAACTATTTCTTTATGATCTCACCATTGCCGGAGTATTGAACTTGGGTGAACAAAGTCATGAATAAATCTTGAGGTACTTGTTTTTGCTTTTAGAATTGCACTAGATGGTAAATTAATGATGGTTAAATCGGTAGATAGTTTTTTGATAAAAGAAAAGTCTATTTTATTTTTTGATTTATTTTATTTATATATTATATAACTTAAATTTAAAATTTTTTATTTTATTTTTAAAAAAATTATTTAATTATTAAGATTGTTAATAAATAAATAATTTTTACCTTTTAATATCAAAAAATTTATTTTTTATTTAATAATAAATATTATATAATCAGTACATCATATGTATAATATATATATATATATTATAAATCTCTATCCCTTTAGCAACTATCCTCAGGCCCTTGGGAAGCGGAACAAGGATATGGTACAAGGTATGGCTTTAGGATAAGAAAATTTTCTCCTGTTGTACCTCAATGTTTTTTCCCCAACTTTGTGAGGCTCAAAGTAGGACAATTGTCTCTTGTTTCAGCCTTTTTTTCTACCTTTTTAGGCCTAAAATATGCCTTCCGTACCTAAGAAGGGACAAATTTCTCATTATTGAGAGTTGAGACAATTGTTTTCTTCCTTTTTGAAGTGAAGATCACTAACAATGGGCCTCTTTGGGTCTGCCATGCTTGGGTTGTATTTTGTACTGACTCTCAAGCACATGATATCATTCATTCACTTGTTGTAGCCCCGAATCCCCAAACAATGTCATAAAGAAGTGAGATCCAGGGTGTCTTCCACATGCAAACAAAACAGATTATTAGGTTGGTGATGGGAATAAACTAGATTTGGTGAACTGCACCAAACCCTCAAGCCACCCTGTCAAATTTTGTGTGCCTAAATTTATCAATTCCACTTTTTTATTCATGTCCAAGGGTTCTTGGATTTAGTGTGCCTTTTGCCCGCCCTTTTGTCATTCTTTTGAACCCTCTTTTTGATTGTTTGTTGCAACCCCCTTTTTGTTATTACCAAAAGCAATTCGAGGGATAATAATAGGAAAAAAGAGAAGCATCAAAGCTATTGACTTTTCTATAAGTAAACTACCCCATTCAATTTTTTTGCTTGAAAAAACTTAATACAACTGGCTGGATCAGATCTCTTCCAAAAAAGTTGCCCATGTGCCTGCTTTCACACTTGATGTCGGTCAGTATCACTAAGATGATAAAAGAGTCTTTTCAGTCCGGACTGGCTAAATGTACATCAGTCCGGACTGGCACACGAAGAAAATTCTTTCTCCTCTAAGATTGCTTTTGCAAAATAATCACTTCAAATTTCACTGGAAATAGCAATACAATTGAAGACATTGTAAAACTGAACAAGTCAAAAGACCATATATCAGAAGCTACAAGAGATAAAACATACCATTCTAAATTTACTAACTTCCATCTGGTTGTGGGTTGGCCTAAATTCCCACCAGTAAAATCTATCAAAATAGAACCTTCAGTGTTGAAAGCTCATAAAATGCAGAGCTAATGTTCAGTGTTATAACAACTGTCAAGCTAGTTCGAGTTATCCTAAGGAGAAGGGAATCTCTGTTCTCATCCTTGTATTAAAATGATGAAGATCCCAGATTTGAGGATAAAATAGAGAAGTTTGGTATCTTACAAACTTAGGTGTTCTAACCAGGGAGATGCAGCCCCTCCCAAGGTGTGTCTAATCTTGTCCTCTTTATTTTCCCTTGCTCTAGAGGGAAATTTCAATCAGGATTCCATAAGCTGTTCATGCTTCATGTTTCATCTTTCAACTATAAATGAACAATGGAAGAAAGTGAGTATGGTTGGCCAAGCAAAATGCAAATGAAGTTCAACGGCATAGTTCCCTATAGGCTACAGCAGGGTATGCAATGGAGAATACATTTCATTTAACAACGCCATAAAAACAGTTCAAGGAACTAAGAAATTTCAGAAAATTCAGCTACTGTTCACCGTTCATTAGAATAATACTGCAATTCTACCTAGGAACATTAGAGTTTTTTGAAAGATCCCCCTTATATCATGGGTTAAAACTCTTCTATCAAGTCACACAATGTACAACAAGTACACAACTTACCTCTACATAGCATGAAATAAAGAACAGAAGGGATTAACGTGGGACAGATTAGATACTGCTGGAACCTCAAGGCCAAACGTAGTAACAAAATACTCTGAAGAGAGAATTCTAGATCTAGAGAACATAACAACAACTGTTACTTGCGAGCCTTATTTGTCCCCACCTGCAAGTTCAGCCAACCAATCTGAAAAAAGACGACCTCCCTGGCAAGAAGACTCTGCATTTTAAGTAAACTGAGCCGATTCCCAAAATACCATGGGTTGGTGCAACCTATAAACAGTGCAAAATGGCCCAACATCAGGCCAAAGTAATTGCTGCACTTGAGATGCCTAGGAGCTTATTTTCCCTCTTGAGGGATATTCTGATCAATATCTGTCACCCAAAACTGACGGGGAACATAGAGACCAGACCACTACTGGAAGCCTAGTTACATGTGTCGTAGTCTGCAGAAGAAGAATGACACCAGAATTCTACCAATTCTAATGACATGTAGTCAAAGACACAAGCAGCTACGGTTCCAACCAACTCTACCACAGGTGCTCTCGGTTCTTGAGATGAATTCAGATTGCAATTGACTCTGAATAGCAATCACCAAAACACAGTTATGGCTAGCAAAATCTATAGAGGGTAAACCAGACACTCCACGAAACAATAACCAAAGCACCAGAAAACACCAATTCACAAGGACCCAGATGCCTAATCAAAAGAAAGCTTGAAAATAAGTTCAGTAATCAATGGCGTCAATTATTACCCAAATTCAGTCATCGCCGGTGGGAAACAGGGTGAGAACCTTCCTCCCTCCAGTCCCATTGGCAGATTCCAAATCCTCCACATAACTAGGAACCTGATTGTGCACTGGTGCCCCCATCCTATGCACCGGTTGTTGATTCTGCGTCTGCCTCGGCAAAAACGGATGCTCAAACTGCCCATTTGGTGGTGACCCAAAATGCCCCATTGGCCTGTGATACTGAGGCTGAAAATGTGGAGGCCCAGCTGCAGCAGCTACGGCTGCCATCTGTTGCTGCTGCTGCAATGCTGCCATTGGCACAAACGGTAAAAAATGGTCCGAATTTGGTCTACCCGGATGCAGAAAATGTGGTGGAACCGGAGAACTAGCAAACAAATGATCCGTGGCTGGATCACTGCTGGCTGCCAATCCAGCGCCGCTGCCTCCACCGTTGCCAACACCACCCCCACCATTGGACAACCCCTGCATTCTTTTCAAATAAAGGCGATACTTCTGCAAATGACTAGCTACGTTCTCTCTAGTCAAACCATCCACACTCATCAACTGCATTATAGTCTTAGGCACCGCGTTCTTGATCCCCAAATGCGCCACAGCGTCCACAAACCTCTTGTGTAGTTGCGGTGTCCACACCAGCCGGGGTCGCTTGAGTGTGCGAGCAGGCTCATCCCCAGCAGCCCCGGAGCCTAACTCACCGGAATCCGCAGCGAATTCCGCAGAGCTGGGTTGCGAAGTCACCAACGGATTGGAAGACAGAGGCTGTGCAGCTGAGGGAGGAGGCGGAGGTGGGGTTTGCTGCTGCTGGTGTGGGTAGGAGGCAGAATTGTTACTTGGGTTCCGGATATCGAAAGCAAGAGCAAGATCAGGAGTGATTAGGGTTTGAGAGAGGGGCATGAGCTCATCCGGCGATGGAAGCTCTTCCTCCCACTTCGAGAACCAATTAGATTCATCGTCTCTCATTATTTCCCAAATTCAGAACAAACCCAATTCAATACTTCTCCTATATCGGAAAGAATTCAACCCAAGTTCGAGATTTGAGGATGTGGGCAATAAATATAGCAATCAATCAGCCTCAGGATGAAGAACTAACACTGAAAAAGAAAGAAACAATTCCTGCAGAAAGGAAGCTACTTTTCTCCCTTTCTGCAGAATTGATATGGGAAGGAGGAGAAAGGGAGGGAGAGGAAGGTTAGGAGGTAGGATTCCGGAGGTTGACGGCGGCGGCGACGATGGAGGGCGGAGGAAGTGGAGAGAGGTTCGAGGTGGATCTTGTTTTCTTCTTTTCAGCTTTTGTTATGGGTACTGTTGCTGATGCTTATGATTTTTATGGGGTTTTATTTTCCGGGATTTGGGGGTCTTCTTACACGAGAGTGAGTGTTGCAAAGATTTTTAGATTTGTAATGCAGCCATCACCATCGCTAACGGTGGCGAGTGAACCCACGCGCGGCCACATCTGGCCGACACAACTGCCTGACAGTAGTGGTGACGGTGGTTGAAGGGTGGTGCGTGTAGCACGAGCGTGAGGGGGTGGGAATGTTAGGGGATAGAATTTTGTGGCGAAGAAAAGTGGGTTGTACGGGAATATAGTGGGATTAGGGAAGGGAGTAGAGTGAGAAAGATGCGAAGTTTGCTCACTTTGTAACTGTGGGGGAATCAACTCAATTGGTGTTTTGATGTCAGGATAAGTTAAAATTTTGGTTTGTGGGGTGTTTTCTCTTGGGTTGAGGTGGTAATTGAACGAGTCATTTCACTTTGAATTAAGGGGGTGTTTGTTACCTTCTCACTTTTTTCCTAAACCTTTTTAAACTATCATATACATAAATTTATTAATATATTTTTACACATTAGTATTATTATAAAAAATAAAAATAACATTTTAAGTTTTTATTTTTATTGATAGAATATCTAATTTATAAACTTTTTCTTCCCATACTTTTTGAAAAAAAAAGGTTTTTTTTTTTTTTAATTTTTCCTATTTATGATTCACTTGATAACTTTTTTTATATATTTTCTCTATACCAATTTCTTATTTAACATAGAAAAATTAACTATCCAACAAAATTTATCTACAAAACTTATCTACAAAATTTCTATATAATACTTTTTAATCACTTTCTTAATAAAAACTTTCCTAAAGGATTATTCAAGTAGAGATTGTTCCATGGTTAAAATAATAATAATAATAACAGGGTATTGTTCTAGGTGCCTTGTTCTTGTGCGGATCATATAGATGAAAGTGATTTAGTCAAAATATTATGTGTTGACATCAAAGGCTATGTTTGGGATTGCTATGAGGTGTTGTGCTTATGGTTATAGCTATAGTTGTGATTATATTAAACTGTGTTATATTGTATTAGTAGTTTAAGGTTATTTTGATATTTAGTTATTTATTTTTAAAAATATTGTAGATGACATATAGTAAATTTCATTAATTATTAATTAAAATTTTAAAAATATTGCATGATATATAATACTTAAAATAAATTTCATTAAAATAAACAACATTTATTACTTCTTAATAATTTAGGTTTTTTGGTTTTATATGATGAGTGTTATTTTGGGTTTTAAGGAAGAGTAGAGGGAATGTGTTTTTAATTTTTATGAAATATTCTAATAAATGAGAGGTTGGGTTTAAATAAAATATTATAAATTGTGAAATAATTGAATTAAATGAGGTTGAATTTTAATGAGTAATTTTGTAGTTGTATTAAATATTAGGTGTTTGATCGCAAGAGTATAGTAAAAAAACTCTAAAATAAGGTTTCTAACTTTATATATAAAATTGTTGTAGTCTTGCTATGACTTTCTATAATTTTGGAAAAAAGTAGTTTGAGAAAAAATTACTAAGCATATATATCTAATGTACCATATGATTATAAGAAAAAACCCTAACCGCAATCCCAAACACACCCAAAATTTATGTTGCATTTTCTTATGTTTTACCTTAGCCATAACCCTCACAATATTGTTCTTAATGAAAAATGATACACCTATAATAATTTTAAGTCATTATACAAAATAAAATTGTTGTAGTCTTGCTATGACTTTCCATAATTTTTGAAAAAAGCAGTATGAGAAAAAATTACTAAACACATATATCTAACGTACTATATGATTATAAGAAAAAATACTAACTGCAACCCTAGACACACCCAAAATTTATGTTGCATTTTCTTATGTTTTACCTTAGCCATAACCCTCACAATATTGTTCTTAATGAAAAATGATAAACCTATAATAATATTAAGTCATTATACAAAATAATATTTTATTTTATAATTGATTCCTTTTAATAAGTGATTGTGAGAAAATTAATATGTATTTATTTTTTTAATGTCACATTATTTTTTTAGTATTTATAATTAAAGTGTTTCCTTGAGCCAACTTTTTGTATCTCAAGGCTACTTCATTTCCTAATTCATTTTCTAATGATCTTAAAGGTGCACCTTTTATATTAGTTTTAAAGATTAGGAGTTTAAATTCGACCTAACCTATAAGATGATATTTTTTTACCATTGGATTCAACTTTTAAGATTATGTCACATCATATTGTATAAAATATTGTACTTGAAATTATTGTAAATATAATTTTTGTCTGTTCTCAAAAAGGCACAATAATTCTAGACTATTATTCTTAATCACACTCCATTTAACTATAAACTAGAGAGAGAAATATCATAGGACTTGGAATCTAATACAAAAGGAGAATTACAAAATGGGATGATTAAAATAACTTTGGTGAGGTTAAAAGACAAAACCACACAACCCAGCCAACAACATATATTCTTTTTTATTGGGTTGTTTTGTATATAGTTTTATTAAAATAGAGAAATTTAAGACAAATAAATTATTGGGTCCTAAGGCATCCACAGCTTCGGCTGTTTTGGTTGCGTACATTTAAACTCATGGTTTCGGTTAAAATTTAAAATTGCAGTATGCATCCCCTACTCTCCCTCACAATCCCCCCTGTTCAAAAAAAAAAAGAAATTATTGGGTCCTGAGGAGGGCATATTTTATTCTATTCTATGATGGATAAACAGATGTTGATATCAATAATTATTGTTTGATGAACCCTATAGCCAAGATTATTTTGTTTCTTTTTATGAAAGTTTTGTTTAATTGTTTACTGTAGAGAGTAAGGAACATTAGGTAATCTTGGTATGCTACCAATCTAAATAAAGCTTTTATATATACCAAAAAAAATTCTAAATAAAACTTTCATTGGTAGCAACCTTCGTGCTTCATTTCCTCTTCTTGGAAGAATCTTTTGAAATTTTCAAACCTAATCATGAAAGATGAGGTATGAATAAAAATAATAAAAAAAAAATTTAACGAGTTGTCCTTTTCTACTCGGCTATTTTTCAAGTTGAAAATCAAGATTTAAGAGTCTCAGGTTTCAACTTGTCGTAATGTACGGGATTCACCTTTACTGTCTTTGCAGACATTATACAATTTTTTTTATGAAGTG